ATCTTCAGGGAGGCTGTTCCACATGTCGGTGACTCGAAGCGAGAAGAAATGTTGTCTCGTGGATAAGTCGCATCGCAGTTTTTTTAGTTTATAGCTGTGGCCCCTGGTGTTGGTTCTTGTTTCAAATTCTAGTAATCCTTCTGGGACCTTGTACAAACCAGAAGTATACTTGTATACTTCAATGAGGTCACCACGCAGGTGACGATAACGGAGACTGGGAAGCTTCATAATCTTCAATCTTTCTTCAAGAGACTTGCCCTTTAATCCCGGAATTATCCTTGTTGCACGTCTTTAAACACTCTCAACTAAATTTTTGTCCTTTTCACGTCTCGGTGACCACACAACGTTTCCAAACTCTAGGTTCGGGCGCACGACAGAGGNAAAACGTGACGTGCGGCTAGCGTCTCCGGAACAAAGACTGTCTCTTATACACATCTAGATGTGTATAAGAGACAGACTATCAGCTGCTTCCCGCTCCCCCTCCTTCCCCGGATACGCGCTGGAGCGCAGGGACCGCCCCGGAGGTCACGGTGGCGGTCTCCTCATCCTGATCCACCACGATGTCCCGTACACCGGGCGAGACATCTCTCCCCCCCTACGCGACGACACCACCATGGAGGCCATAGCAATCTCCACCCCTCTTTGCATCATCAATGTTTACATCCCACCGGCCTCCTCCTGCCCCCCGGGATATTCCCCGGAGCTCGCAGACATTGTCTCTATACCGGGCGACTATCTGATAGTAGGCGATTTTAACGCCCATCATCCCTCCTGGTTTTCCCATACGTAAGACCAGAGAGCCGCAGCGCGAGGAGCTGTAGTTGACGACCTCGTCGTCGGTTCCTCCCTCGCCTACCTCAATGAGGATTCCCATACCCGCCTCCCCTCCCATGGCCCGCCCTCCTCTCCGGAACTCACCATCATCAGCGGTCATCTACCCCTCAACACCTCCTGGACTCCTAGAGTCGCTCTCAACTCGGGCCACCTGCCCATCCTGATTCATCTTCCTTCTTCAGTCGACTCCCCGACACCCCGGGCCGCCCGCTTTTCTGTCCGGTGATCTTCTATCACCCTCTAGGTTATCATACGTCACCATCTTATAGCCTGTTCTGTACCCACATGCTAGAGTCACGCTCAGTGACGTCATCCCTGTTAAGGCCTATATATATCTCGATCTGTGCACCGCTCGTCAGTCGTAGCGGTACTGGTACTGCCCTGTCTCTTATACACATCTAGATGTGTATAAGAGACAGCTCCTCTCCGGACCTCACCATCATCAGCGGTCATCTACCCCTCAACACCTCCTGGACTCCTCAAGTCGCTCTCAACTCGGACCACCTGCCCATCCTGATTCATCTTCCTTCTTCCGTCGACTCCCCGACACCCCGGGCCGCCTGCTCCTCTGTCCGGTGATCTTCTATCACCCTCTAGGTTTATACTGTCAATCTCCGTCCTTCTGTACTCACCGAGCCAGTTTATTATTATAATAGAACTAGTGTTAACCGTGCGTTTCACTTGTCCTGCCTTAGTCATACTTGTAACAATAAAGTACCCGACTCTCAGTTACAAATCCATCAGGCGGTCGTAGAAACAGACACCTGACACTTCCGTCAACTTTAAAAAAGCTGTCTGGCCCGCCTACACGCAGCCATCGAAGCAGCACTCGAGATGGTCCCTCTCCCAACCTCGTGTGGCGGTGAGTCGACCTTGAGAGAAGTCTTGACGACTGCTGCCAGACAGCATATCCCTGCTAGATTCTCCCCCTCTGTCAACCCTGGCACCCGGTTGCTCATCGAGCAAATGGATGACATCAGGGCGCGTAATCCAACCGACCCCCGGTTCCCAGAACTCAACCTGGAAATTAGTATTTCCATTCAGGTCCATGCTAGCAACACATGGCGAACACATCTTGCGTCGTGCAGCAGGCACACAAACCTGTCTAAGCACTGGAATCTTCTTCGCTCCCTAGCCGGAAAGCGAAACACTCCTCCCCCAATCAGTCAATCCAATTTGGTCTGAATTTCCTCTCATCCCAGCGCAAGATCTCATCCGCCTTCTGCAAGCTATTTACTTCGATTGCTCCTCACTCCCAAAGCTCCTCCACTCGCCGCCTCATACGTCAAATCCGGGCTGAACATACCCTCGATAGGGACTTCTCCCCTTTCACACCCGACATGATGAAGCTCTCCGTCGCAGCCGCCAAAAACTCTTCCGCTAGAGGTCCAGACGGCCTCACGGTCCTTCATCTTAAGCACCTCGGCCAACTTGATATCCAGTTCCTCACCCGTATTTTTAACATCTCCGTCTCCACAGCTTCTATCCCATCCATTTGGAAAAATTCAATAATTATTACAATACTCAAACCGTGCGAACCCGGAAACCAGGGCTCTTTATACCACCCTATCTCCCTCCTCTGCCCTGCAGCTAAGATCCTAGAGCGTCTCGTGCTCCCTTACATCTTAGGATCCCTCACTACTGTCCCCTCGCAACATGGTTTCAAACCGGGACACTACACAGTCACCGCCCTCCTCCCGCTCGTGCACCAGATCACGACGGGTTTTAACTCTCGGCGCCCTCCAGCCCACACAGTCGCCGCGGCAGTCGACCTCTCAAAGGCCTTCGACAGTGTCGACCACCCTCTCCTCCTAAGCATCATCGCGGCCTCGGACCTGCATCACAACCTGGTCCGCTGGCTGTGCTGCTACCGCAGAGGCAGGCAGGCATATTGCCTCCACCTGAGAACACAATCGCCTTTCAGAGCCATCCACTCTGGAGTTCCCCAGGACTCGGTCATCTCAACGGCCCTCACAACCTGGTCCGCTGGCTGTGCTGCTACCTCAGAGGCAGGCAGGCATCTTGCCTCTACCTGAGAACACAATCGCCTTTCAGAGCCATCCACTCTGGAGTTCCCCAGGACTCTGTCATCTCGCCGGCCCTCTTTACCCACTTCATCTCCGATATCCCAGTGCCGATCCCCAACATTGCCTCATACGCTGACAACCTTACCATCTTCGTGTCGTCCCTGAGGCTCGACGCTGCGGAGGCTGAGCTCGCCATACTCCTTCGGAGCGTCTCAGATTGGTCGGCTGACAAGAAACTGGCTGTGGCTCCTGGCAAGTCCTCGGTCACGCTCTTCGCCCCAGATACGCACCAATCCCGATACAACCCATCAGCCACTATCTGCAACGGCATCATCCTCCTGGATAAAACCCCCCAAATCCTAGGCGTCACCTGGGATACGCACTTCACATTCTCCCATCTTGCAAGAGCCGTAGCCATGAAAGCGACGGTTTCTTTTCGCATCTTAAAAGCCCTTGCTGGTACCAACTGAGGTTTCTCCAAGGAGGATATAATTGCCACCTATCGAACCATCACGCGCCCAATCCTCAAATACGCGGCCCCCATCGGGTACCCTTTCGCCTCACGCACAGCAATTGCCAGTCTACAAACAATACAAAACACTGCATTGAGACTAGCCACCGGTTGCCTCAAAGTGGCCCCGATCGCCCATCTTCACCAAGAGAATGGCGTCCTCCCTTTGTCCGCGCACCTGGACCTGGCTTGTGCCCAGTTCCTCGCCAGCGCCCTCCAGCCTTCCCATGCCTCATCTCGCATTGTTTATGCGATTCTGCCTCACTCGGGGACCGCCCCATGAAAACCTCCATCCAGTCGAGGTTCGGCCACCTTGTCACACCACTCTTGGCAAATGGTATCTTGCCCACCGGGGCCTACAGAGAGGCCAAGCGGTATCCCGTAAGAAGATCGCCTCCCGCGTTGCGGCGACGGACGCTATAAACGCCGTCCTCGCTGCTCCACCACCGCCAATTGCATCGGTGGACGCCTCACCCCCTCGCCCATACCGTTCGACGCTATCCTAGCTCCGCTCTGGATACTGCAGCTCCCTGGCGTCCTACTCCGATAGGATCGGACGTTCCCCTAGCTTCGCCTGTCCGGAGTGCGGGGATCCCCTCCAATCGATCCTGCATCTCTTTGCCTGCCCCGCCTTCCCCACTCCCTCAGCGTCTCCTCACTGTGGGACTGCGGGTCGCCTGCCGAAGACCACCACTGCTCTGGATGTAATGGACCATCATGATTCCTGCCTTCCGGAACGTAGCCTTCAACACTTCAAGCCGTCCGTATCTAGGCAGTGGGTCAAACCAGCCTGGACGATAAATTTTGGAACAGAACTATGCTATCTGAAACCTAACATCAGATGCGGTGAACGTAAAATTACGTAATTTAACGATGCCCGGAAGTCATATTCGATCGGCGGCCTGGTGGTGCACGGCAGCTAGGTGGTGGTCAAGGCCGGAGGAGGACAAAGCCGAGTGGTGCACGGCTGATTGGTGTAGGTCCGGAGAGATCCAAAGCGTTCGATTTAGAGCTTATTGGTGCACAAAATTCGTGGTGCACGGCTGCGCTCCCGGGACATCCCCGTGGAGGCAGCGGCATTCCTGGCCACCCTTCCTGCCTTCGCCCATCTCCCCCCTTTTCCGGTTCCTGCCCACCACCTGAGCCTCCCCCCGGTGAGCGTGACGGACGCAATAAACAACAACAACAACTTAACAGCATAACTTGGAAAGTGTTCATGCTAATCAAGTTAGGAGTTTATTTGCTGCCATGGTCACTTGTTAGTGTTGAGGAAAATTTAACTGTTAGGCTTTGAGGGACATTGATGCTTATGTGGACATTAAGTTGGAACGAAATTGCGTCTGCTGTATATCTACCGTAGTCACGCTGAAATGTCAATTCTGCAATTATTGCAACTTGCAATCATGGATAAGTAACCAAGGAAGGAGTGATAGACAAGCATTGAATTAAGTGTAGCCTTGGAAATTGGATATATCAAAAAATGTTCATCATAGTCCATGAGATGAACTATTTAGTAAAAGGGTACAGGTACGTTGAAAAAAACTCGTATCACTTCATTATCAAGTGATACAGCTTATCAAGTGGATAAGCTGTAAAATATTTCAAGAAGACCTGTCATCAGCGTTATCGAAAGTCCTGCAGTCATCCTCCTTTGAGTACTTCGTACCTCAATACTATAAGTTCAACGAAAACAGATGTAAATCGATTAACGTGAGCTCCGATAGGAACCAATTTCAAAATGTTGAAGTATTATTATGATTTGATGTCACAACCGTGCAGAGCAATATATATATTTCTTAATAAAACCAAAATTCCTTATGAGAAATGTAAAGTAGATCTAAAATCAGGTGAGTGAGTGACATCGTTACTGACGTTAGTCGTTACCAGCCTACCAGGGAACAACTAACAAGTTCAGTTACCGGTATTAGCTTTGCCGCCTGGCGCCTTGACTCAGGCTTGGACTATTTGACTTGTCCAGTTGTCCTTGGACCTTGGCTTTCGTAAGTTGGAAATTTTTCAGGGTATTCGACTATTCGTGACTTCGGATCAAGAGAGACAATTTTGCTGTATTCAAATTGAATGCCTAATTTGGTGTTGCAGTAACAGCTTACACGTTTACACTTTACAGTCTTACAAAGTTACAGTTACAGATACAGTACCAGGGCAGGTAGGCTACCTGTTTTTTATTCTCGTAGTTAAAATTAGCATTTTTTGCACATGAGATAATTTCAATGCAGTGCAATGCTATTATTTGCAATGCCCACAACTTTGTGCATGACTTAGGTCTTAGAATAGAAATTTCAATTCAGTGTTTGAATGTTTCAAAGATTTTGCTTGAATCCTACTTGTATTTTAGTTGCATAGTTGCGGCCATGTCAAAGCGGTCAGACTGTATATTAACACGTGCTGAACTTACAGTAGAGACAAATTTTATTGTTGCCGTTTGACTGTTTAAGGGTAAAATTAGAGATTTGGGGTAACACTAAACACGTGCATAAACTTTGTAAATAAATTCGCATTCGCACCTCGTAAATGGCTTTTCATGGCCGAGATATGGAATTCACGGCTCGGTGAAATAGAATCACGGCTCGTAGAAATGGAATCACGGCTGGCAAATCCATAAAACCACGGCTCGAAAAATTCAGTCGCAGCTCGCCAAGTAGATATATTCCATACTAGCGCCACTACCAAACATAGTGACAAACCAGAGATTTTTTAGAATAAATTCATTTTTAATTTCCTCATTTACTCAAGATTTTAACCAATTTCTTAAGTATGATAATGCTGGACTGCTGGTATCCAAGATACTTTAGTTTACTGGTCCACATATACGACTCAAAAATAAACTTGGAGACAGAGTCTAAAAAACTCTCTGCTTTGCCACTATGCAGTAATGCAGTCCCTCAAGTTCATTTTTGAGTCCTATAACAGCTATAAGTAGAGCAGTGAAGTATCGTGGATACCAGCATTATCATGCATAAGAGATTGGTTCAATTCTTGAGTAAATGAGGAAATTAAAAAAACACTGATTCTAAAAAATCTGTGGTTTGTCACTATGAATGCAGCAGTATCAAAACACAACACTACGCGCCAGGCGCCAGCAATGATCAAAACATCATAAACTATTGCCATATTTATTTAAAAGCCTTTAGAATTGAAAATCTACAAAATCGCTGATGCTGAATTCTGACGCTGTTGCTGTGACTGAGCCTGTGTGTGACTAAATTTGGCATTTTGTGAGATTAATTCCGACGTCACTGAAACACGCCGTGTGATGTGTCATGTGCGTAGACTTGCAGACAGAGTGCTTCAAAACCGTAATTCAAAATTCTGACGCCCTTTGTGAGCTGTATTGGATTTGGAATACGACACAGCTTGGAATCCACACTCAGCTCAGGAAGATGTATATAAACAGGGAAATTTCCCGTGTGTAAATAGTTATTTATATTTTCTTCACGCACGCGTTAGCGTGAATCACGGTCATTGAAATCACGCTGCGCAGCACTTGGCGCGGGCCGCTGAGCCGTCTGACACAGTTCTGATTTAGACACAGTTTTCATCTGAATGAAATGGCAACATCGTCTCTACTCTGTAGTAGATTTCAAGTAACGCTGCACGATCTTCGACTTTGAGTGTGATGTGTCCCTCTGAAAGTCTGAAGTTATTCTCATTTTTATTAATGTTTGTTGTTCGCCTCTATAATTAACCTTCATCGTTGCAATAAAAATGAAAATTCATAATTAAGATAGATTTCTTCCGGGGACCGGTGCCTGTGTTTTTTTATGCAATTGGCACTTATTAGTGAATGAATGATTTGCGGTGTGGTTCTTTAATCTTGACTTCTGCAGTTCGCGCAATCCCGGCCATCAATTCTACGCCGCACAAGAGCAGTTTGTGGAGGAACAGATGCAATACTCAGTACAGTATGCTTTTAATTATCCTTCAATAATATATGATTTTTCTTGATATGGAAATTTGGTGAATGAGAAATCTAGAACTTTATTTTGTCATATGGCAACACTGAACACTGTATTTTTACATTTCGTATGTTTAATAGCCGCAGTTTACAATTACTTTTTCTAAATAGTTGGCTGAAGACTGAGAAATATATTAAATGCATGAATTTCAATCTGAATGTGTCGGCAAGATCTTCTGAAGGCAAAAATTTTGCCGATAATGCGTCGCCATAGGTCTTTAAATCTTCGTTCACTCTCTGCAAAGTGGCACAACACTACGCACCAGCAATAATTGAAACATCATAAACTGTTGGCTGTTGCCATATTTATTTAAAAGCCTTTAGAATTGAAAATCTTCAAAATCGCTGACGCTGAATTCCGACGCTGTGTGTGACTAAATTTGGCATATTGTGAGATTAATTCCGATTTCCGACATCACTGAAACATGTTGTGTGATGTGCATAGACTTGCAGACAGAGTGCTTCAAATTTCAAAACCTTAATTCAAAATTCTGACGCCCTGTGTGAGCTGTATTTGAATATGTTAATTCCAAGCTGTATCGGAATTAATTTTCATGTGTCTAAAACCGTCTTTTAACTTAACCCTAATCGTGTAGGTGAGCTGAAAAATGCCCTTATTTTCTAATACCCACCGTAAAAAAGTAACCACAAATTACACAGCCTTGTCTGTCGAGATATTCAACTGATGTCTATTCTTGCTGTTGGATCAATAATATTTAGCTATTTTGATCTATAATGATAAGGTAAACCATTTAGCAAACCACGTACGGTATAAACATATGTTACCAAGTAAGCGGATTCGCATGCTGGCAGCGAGCTACGTCCCTGTCGGACTCAGGATATCAGTGTCCAACAAGCAACAGAGGTGGACGGTATACTCGAGCAGCAAGCTTCCTGTTCCGCTGATGCATCTCATTTTATGCAGTTCTTTCTATGGCGGGCAATGAACTCGCTGACAATCAGATGAAAAAGCTATAGGAACAAAGAAACTGAGAGAAACTAGCAATGAAGATGCAGGAGGTGCACCAGTGCTGAAGCTGCACATGCACCAGCAATAAATATGCACATGTTCTCAGGCACACGCACACGTGAATGACTTACAGTCTCATCCACATGGGTAACATAGACACAAGTTCGAGCGGTCGGAGTTGTACACGGGAATGGCTCTGCTTGAGGACTGAAATTCGGTCCTTTCATTCTCATAATTTTTAAAAATAGATTAGAGTTCACAATTGTACGTTTGAAGACTGCATCTGATAGGAAACAATCTATATTAATGGCTGGTAAAATAATCGCAGCGTATGTAAAATAGAAGACACCTAAAAAATACTTAACAGAATTAAGGGCAGAAATCATTTGCACCTGAGGTTGTAGTGTGACACGACAACCTGTGGCGATTAGGGTTAATCATCTATTAATTTATTTACCACATAAAATCAGCAAATACAAGTATACTTAATGGATTCCTAATATATTCACAGACTTATTTAAAAGTCTCAAACCATAATATTCTATCTACACAAACAGTTTATCACTATTTGGTAGAGCAAGGTCAACTATCAACTTTGACATGTTTTTCGATGTTCTCACTGGGTGACGTGGACTTTCGCTCTGAGGATCTAAACATTTTCCTGCCAAACCTAGTGTTTTGCGTGAATCTGGTGCACATCAGTATGACGTCACTATTTCAACCATCTACACATGCGTGGAAGTAAGACAAAGCTTAATATAAAGGAAAAAGTTGAGAAGTATTGGAATTACCCACGATGTTGGAATATGGTGTGTTTACCCTAGGTATGTTTTGTGAAATTGTGAGCTGTGAGCTAACCTAATTTAGCTAAATATTTTAGGTATTCATTAAATTTTCATGCCTATTACCTCTAGCCTCTAGGCTCTTTGAAATAATTAAGAGTATTTAACATTTTGTTCTGATTCACCAATTTAAATTTAATTAAAAATTTTAAAGATCCACTTATTCACTCATGAAGTTTCTTTTGCTTATTTTCAATATTTTGGAAAGCCATAAAATGTCATGAAAGGAGTGCAAATTTATAAACTTAATGCCTATTATTTGGGACTGGTGCTTTTAAAATAAAATGTTTTACACCGTTTAAATTTTCACAGGTGAGCACCTCAGAGGTGATTTCAAAGATATTCATCCATTCAATCTTGTTCCTGCCATCAATGATTCTGGATTTAAGCTCATTGAAAGGTATTTCTTTACAAATTTTATTTTTAATTCAACTTGTAGTTGTAGAAAAATTAAGCACAGGCAGCATACAATAGAACTTGCATGTTTTATTCTTGATATATATATATATATTTATTTATAGTCATATATATACTTTTCAGATTAAAAGTTATTTCAATTGTTTTCTTGTTTGAACTTAGAACAATATGAGGCTTGGGCTCTTTGTATAAAATAAGTTTTAATTATCATTGTGATGAGTGCAGGCTGTAGGGGTCCCACACTATATGTGTAGCAATATCAATAGTAGATTATTAGCTTATTATTTTGTCAGCCTAATGAAAGCATGGTAAAGAATACAAGACTTGTTTTATTGTGCCTGAAGATGCTAAGGAAGCATAGGGATTGTAAAAAAAGTTGAAGTGGCATACACATTTAATTTGATTACTACTTTATTGGGTTAATAACAACTAGCAACCGTTTTTCTTTGTATTTATCAATTTGGTGATCAACTTTCGACTAATGTTTTGACTAATCATCTATAATCAACATTAGTTGTGTGTCTATAAAATATTGTAAAATTACTGTCTCAATTGATCGAAACATGAATAAATTTAATGATAGCTAATCAGCAATGTGAAATCATTTTTAAGGGGGGTGTCTACTCTTAAGTTTTTGGATTTGACTTTTACGGTTTTTAGTCTCATCTTAAAGCTGACATTCTGTCCTATCCAACGGTACCATTACCATCTCTGTACGTTGATTTATGCGTTCACGACAGATCATGAAAGGGAGGAGGGTGGGGGGAGTTCTTTAACAAATAGAATAGGAGGAAGTTTGCTGCAAGCACTTTAAATAGAGTGTCTGCTTGAAGTGCACCTTAGTTACCTGCCTGGCGTCGTATGAGGAGGTGTGCATGCAGTTGCTCCCCCCATCCTTGACTGGAATCAAGCTCTAGTAACGTTTAGTTTTGTATCCTTGCTACATTGAGTGCCTATTGCGATGCGTGCGGGACTTTGTCGTGCTCTGTTGAACATTCATGCTTATTGTCACGGCAAACCTATCTCCTCCTATAGTTTTGAAGCTACAGCAATGAGACATACAGTATACCATTCAATTCGTAAATAAAATCTCTAGAAACCATCCGGTAATTTTTTTTATTTCATTATAGTTTGGATTATATGCAAAAAAGGGTTGTGGAGAGGGGAAAATTTGAAATTTTTGGTAAAATTTTGGAAAATCCCCCATCCCGAACAAATTCGAAATTCAAAAAAATGATCAGATGGATTTTAGATATGATTGTTACAAATCGAATGATATGTGTCTCGATGTTGTAGCACGATATTTGTAGGAGGAGACAGATTTTTAAGTTCCCCCTTTTTTTCCGTTTTTTTTTGCTTTTCCGTTTTTTTTCATTTTTTTCAAAAAATTGACATGAACAAAAAGTTCTTAGATTTCTGTTTTACATATGTGTACCAAGTTTCAAAACGATCTGTTTGTAAATGAAAAAGTTTTCAAAAGAGGGAGACGGTCCCCTTAAGGAATAATTTGTTTAATTATTCTATTTAATCATGTTATTGTTTTGGATAATTTTTTCTTTTTGTCTGTATTGACATTTATTTTATATTTCAGTGTTGCCATCCTGCGGTACTTGTGTCGCAAGTACCCCGAATACATAGATGACCACTGGTATCCTCAAGATGTTGCAAAGCAGGCATTGGTTGACCAATACATGGAATGGCAACACTCAAATATTCGCTTCCATGGCTCCTTGTTCTTCAGACACAAGGTAATTCATGATTTTATCTTCAATAGTGCAAATTATTCACAATATCTTAAGTAGACACTTAAAGTGTCTAAATTTATAAGTAAATGCACTTAAAGACTTGTATCCCTCCCAAAATTTTGACCATGGATCTTTACACTAAAATACCCTACTGAGATGCTGTTGCAGGTATGTTTATATACTCCTCTTCAAGCAGCCAGTGTTGTACATGAAAATTAATTTGTTTGAGTGATAGAGGCCGTATTGTGCATCACTGGCATCTACATATATGCTTTGCAAGAATAACCTGTGAGTCTGGTAACAGTTCCCTGCCTAGCTTTGCTTAGGTAGGTATCTATATATATGTATATATAGTTTACAAAAGTTTGTTTCCATGTTGTTGTTAGTGTCCTACCAAGTGTAAGTCTGACCGCATCACTTCCTGTAGTTGATTTTGAAGTGTGTACAGTTTCTGAGATGCGTCTGTGGGCTGGAGCCGGCCCGCCGCTAGGTTCCATCCGGCCCTCCAAGGATATCTCGTAGATCCAGTGATCCACATACAAAAAAAAGTAAAGAATGTGTTTAAAAAAATCAAGTGTGGCGTTTATTTCTGGTTATGCATGAACTAAAAACAGTAAATGGGCATGACCAGCCAGCCAAGGTTTTAGAAAGCTTGCTTTTGGCCCTTGGTGAAAAAAAGTTTGGAGGCCTCTGGCTTAGTTCATCAACAAGTTTCATATCAATGAGATGTGAAGTTTTTTGTCTGTAGAGCCATGCTATGCGGCCACTGTAATTAAACTGACATTGTACTGCTATACTATGTCCACTGTCATTGTACTGCTGTTCTACAGCCCCTGTCATTGGTCTATCGTGCTACAGCCACTGTCATTGTACTGGCACGCTGTAGCCGCTGTCGTTGTACTGTCGCGCTACAGCAGCTGTCATTGTACTGTCGCGCTACAGCAGCTGTCATTGTACTGTCGCGCTACAGCAGCTGTCATTGTACTGTCGCGCTACAGCAGCTGTCATTGTACTGTCGTGCTACAGCAGCTGTCATCGTACTGCCACATTTCGGCAGCTGTCATCGTACTGCCACATTTCGGCAGCTGTCATCGTACTGCCACATTTCGGCAGCTGTCGTTGTACTGCCACATTTCGGCAGCTGTCATCGTACTGCCACATTTCGGCACCTGTCATCGTACTGCCACATTTCGGCAGCTGTCATCGTACTGCCACATTTCGGCAGCTGTCGTTGTACTGCCACATTTCGGCAGCTGCCATTGTACTGCCACATTTCGGCAGCTGCCATTGTACTGCCACATTTCGGCAGCTGTCATCGTACTGCCACATTTCGGCAGCGGTCGTTGTACTGCCACATTTCGGCAGCTGTCATCGTACTGCCACATTTCGGCAGCTGTCATCGTACTGCCGCATTTCGGCAGCTGTCGTTGTACTGCCACATTTCGGCAGCTGCCATTGTACTGCCACATTTCGGCAGCTGTCATTGTACTGCCGCATTTCGGCAGCTGTCGTTGTACTGCCTTAGTATCCTTAGTCTGACTTAGTCCACGGTAGGCTTAGTCTGTGTTTCCCATACCACGATGGATCGCCGCCTCTGCTCGCCGTCGCTTGCTTCTTGTCGTTGGTAGTGGTGCAGGGGCGGTCAATTGTGCCCAGGAACACGTCCAGTCGTCGCTAGAAGGTCTCCAGGGTGAACTCCCACTGACCACGGATCTGTTGCGTAGTGGCGGAATCCTGCACAGACTCCCTCTTCTCTTATTATGGTATGTCTCAATTCTGAAGTTTCGTTTTCAGAGTTTGGTGCCATCCTGCTGATTATTTTCCATGAGTACAGAATGACACACGTCTCCCGTCTCCTCTGCAGTGAGTACCGTACAGACCAGGCGCTCCAACCACATCCAGAAGTTCAACTCCTCCATCATTCTGATCCTGGGAGTAAAGGTTCGCTGGACCCCTTCCAGTTGCAGCACTGCCCCTAAGAGGAAGGGGGTCCAGAGCTGACAGCAATATTCAAGGAGAGGTATCACAAGGGCTCTGGCTCTGAAGAGTGTTATCATCGGTTCTGCTTCTCTTGTTCTGAACTGCCGCCAGATCCACCTTATTTGCCGCCTGCCTCCTGCGGTTATTGCCGCTATGTGATCATCAAACTTGACCTGAGTATTCATCAACACTCCTAGATCGCAAACGAGTCGCTNTGTAACCTGTCTCTTATACACATCTAGATGTGTATAAGAGACAGGCTATGTTGTGGCTGCTGTCATTCACCTGACAATTTACTGAAGCTTATTCCTCAAAATTTTTGGCCTGCTGTAGTAACGTTTTGACATTAGCTATTTATTCCCATCGAGATGCGACCTTTCTTACAAAACATCGGGTGATCTTCATTCGATTATTGGCAGAGAGATTCTCGCAGTGGCGGCAGTGCAGATTTTTTGGTTGTTTTGGTAGTTTTTTTAAATGTTGCTTGTGCCTTTTACGTTCAGGAGGAGAAGATTACTACAATTTTGTTCACTGCTGACTACTGTTTGACACCACCTCACTGTATTTTTTCGAATATTAAAGTGCAATCTCTTTGTTACAGATTCTCATCCCCATGATGACTGGAGATCCTCCACGGGAATCCAGTGTGGAGAGGTACAGAACGGGCTTGGAATCTGTCCTGAAGCAATTCGAGGACTATTGGCTCAAGGACTCTAAGTTTGTGGCGGGCCAGGAGATCTCCATAGCCGATATCCTGGCCGTGTGTGAGCTCTACCAGCCTGGTGTGTAACTAGTATAGCTCCAATGTTATCTGCACTACGTGTTAAATTGAGAATTACCGTGATGTATTACAATCATAGTGATATATTGATTACCGTGATATATTTTTATTACATGATATAGGTATTATTATTAAGCGAGGTATCATAAAGGTTTGATGTAGATATTGTGTTGTATCTCAGCCATAAGTGATACAAAATCCATCAAAGTTTGTTTTTTTAATAGGATATTATCTTAGCATACAGATTTCGATTTTTCACATCTTTCAAAGATATTTTTGCCAATCCTCCCAGCTTATCAGCTATATTCATCGCTCTTATGATTCATTTTGCTTTTAGCCCTTGCGGGATACAACGTCTTCACAGACCATCCTCGTCTGTCAGCGTGGCATGAGCTCGTCAAGTCGGAGCTCAACCCTGAATTTGACGAAGCCAATGTCATATTCAACAAGCTGAGAGCCATGCAAGACCTTCCTAAGCTGTAGAGGCGAGTCATTCTTCGAGATTCTATGTTAATGGCTGCCTAGAGAGTCTTTGTTTTTATTATAATAAGCAGCAGATTGTTAATCTTCGCCAAAATCTGTATTAAACTATAATACTGTTGTAGTTCATTAACTTGTTGAATGCTGGCTAATTGGCATGGTATTGTTTCAAACGTTGTACTTCGCTGTAATAAGCTGTGATTTTCACTTTTATGGAAGTTGTTATTATTGTTATGAGAAATAATAAATCGGACTTTATTTTTATATAGAGTTTAAACAGTTTTTCAAGTTTTCTAACAACATCCTTTTCTAAAAACTTCCTATTATTGTTATGACAGCTGCAGAATACTCCTTCATTAGTAGTGTTATAGTACCCATTTCTTTTTAATTTTTTATTTATGAAATCATTTATGAAATGCACTGATATCAATTATTTTATTTGAAATTTTAAAAAGGAAATTGAACTCATTTTAATTCATTTCGTTCAGAGTTTGCGTGATTAATCACGATTCTTTGAAGCCTGTATTGTGATATACACTTTATTCCTATACTTTATCAACATGTGGCATTCATATTACTTCCTAAAACCTTGTCGATTTTCGGGTAACTTATATCCTACGTTGTTTATCAGGCGAAAAATGGACATTATTTTATTGTTATCTCCAAATTCTTTCCTATTTTACTGAAGTGTGGGGAAATTCATGAGGTTGTCATACCTTCATTGTGGGCGTTTCGTTTTGTTGTAATAATAAATAATATTACTGTCAGTTCCATTTGTGGTCTTTACGACCATTTCATATCATTACAAATTTAAACTTAATTTCTGAAGTTAGAGATACAATGATTAGGTTCAAGCCTTCACTAGGAAAAAAATCTTAGCATGAGCACTCTAAATGGGAGATTTTTCCAGGCATTCATGTGAGTTTTTTTTTAAACACTCTCCGTTCAAACCCTCTATAATGGCTGAAAAACTTTTATGGATACTTATATCATTCTAACTTTTTTTTTACTTATACCATCCTCTAACTTTTCGTTCCTTATAATCACATAGGTAGAGGACTGGAGGAAGATTGACTAAAGTATAGGGCAATAGTACCGTTCCAATTTGTGTGTGGGGGAATAGAAATTTGAAATATACTTATATTTCTATTTTGGTCATTCCTTTATTCCTAAAATTCCAAAACGTTGGTACTTCAAGTGTTTTACCACTTATCGTTACTCAAGTAAGGAAGTGGAACATGCGAAAATGCATCTGGTTTCTCTGACAGTTCCACTATTAATAGTTGAAAAAGTTGTGATCTTTCTCGCATGACGCATGTAGTAGAAAGTAGCAAGTTGGTAACTGACGTTCGTATTCTTGTTGAAATTGCTAAAAAATGTGGCCAAATGCCAGCTTATGTGCAATTGTGCTACTATAAAGATGCCATCAGACATCAGCACATGTGATAAGCAAGCAACATTGGCAGAAGTCATATGTAAATGAGCCAAACTCTAAAACGAATAGCGAAAAGCGCTACGATTGTCCACCACTAAATGTTACGTTAAAGCATTATTCAATTCTCTTACCAGAGGTCGAATTCTACTTTCTAGCTTAAGAAGTACTGTGGCCAGTCACCTTAGTTCATAGTTTGGTGTATGACCATTCTGGTCATTAGCGTTGACGTGTCCGAGGCTCCCAGCGGTTAGCACAGCAAGATTGAACCTGCGAGTGGCATGTTTGACACTCGCAATAAGTAAAATTATGGGATGTTAAGAATTGGCAACCGGCCTAGTGGCCTAATCAACGCTGTTAATTTGTTTCGTTAAACGCACATTGTCAGCCAAAATTTGACGATTTGGGCCTTATTTTTATTATATTTTTTATTCTATAAAAATGAAACGTTGAATATTTGTACCGCAATTTGCAATTTTACTAATAAAGAGACACATCTAGCGAAACTTGAGAAGCCTGATTTTTGCAGTGTCGCCATATGGGCCTTTTTCAGGCCAAATTTATACAAAATGTAGCCTTTTTTGAAGTGAACTGGCCGAACAAAATTTACTTTGCCTTTTTGTCCTTAGAGGCATTTTTTGAGAAATGTGATTCTCGGCTATTTTTGGTAGTAATTTGGTCATTCAGTTTTGCCCATGACGAGTACACCTTAATTTAGTTTTGCATAAGATGAGTACACTCAAATTTCGACACGTAACTGTGTCAACACTTCGGTTTAAGTGGCAACACTAGCCTCCTAATCCGATCAACATTTTGGTTGAACCATGGGACTAAATCCAGTTCAGTGTTGCCAGATGGGCCTTTTTCAGGCCAAATTCGCAAATGTGTGCTTTTTTTTAAATGCATTGGCCTGACAAAATTCATTCGGCATTTTTGGACCTTTTTTATGAAAAATTTAATTCTCTCGACTTTTTTGTAATAATTTTGTCCTTATAATTCAGTTTTGCCTAAGACGAGTACACTCAAATTTCGACACGTAACTGTGTCAACACTTCGGTTTAGGTGGCAACACTAGCGACTTAGCGAGTGCCTCCAAATACGGGCAACACTTTAAGCGCCGTCCACACGCTCAAACTTAACGTCAGTCTTGCATGTCATGCCAGGATTGACCGATTTCGACGGAAGAGTGAAGACTGAAGAGCGTCCACACGCTCTAACTTCCCTTCAGTTTTTAGTGCGTTCGCGACAATGGCTGCCGGCCGGAGGCAGTGCTGCTCGCTGCAGTGATCGCAGCTTGTGCCACCAAAATTAGGTTAAAGCGATGCAAATGTACGCGGTGATCTCGAAAATGGTTTAAAAAATACCACAATGAATGATTCAATGAGGGTTGATAGACAGCATCCCTATCAGCACCAGACATCATTGACGACTTCATTGTGGCGCATTCTTTTCGATGAAGTTTATTTTATTTGTCACAAAGTCTGTTGGCTGTATGACCAACTTCTTTGCACTTAGCAATCAATGTCGCATAGGCCAGTGCTCTCTTGTTCTTGTGACTGTAGCTTTTTTATTTACCATAAACATGGGAAACTACGATATAACTCGATAAACTCACCAAAAGAAATCGTGAAACCAGTGTCGGATATCCTGGGATATGAAAAACCATGAGCTAGCGAGGAACAATGTCACAGCTCTCATCATCAATATAGACTGAGATAGAGTAAAAGTTTGACCAATTAGTCGGTTGCCCGTCCACACGCTCAAACTTATCGTCAGTCTTGCATGAACACAAAGGTCTCGCCTGTCCGTTAAGGTGGTGCTTGAGAGCCGCGAGGTCCCGTACAGGTTCCTAAGCAGTTCTTCACTAATTAGGGTGAACTTTACTCCACTCGTAAATGAGATGACGATCTGAAATTTTCCCTACTTATCTTGGTATTTACTTACAATCCGTGTAAAGGAACAAAAAATATGTAAGCTTTGTATAACACCAGTTATGATAGATGATAATTTTGTACCTCAATGTTAATTAAACCGGCGTCTTATCGAAATTTTTGAGACGTTAACGTGTAGTACTATTTATTCTCTATCTGATGTTACTAAATACATGTCAGAATCAACATCCATTTTGTAAATATTCACNCGAATTTACCATAAACATGGGAAACTACGATATAACTCCATAAACTCACCAAAATAAATCGTGAAACCAGTGTCGGATGTCCTGGGATATGAAAAACTAGAGCTAGCGAGGAACAATGTCACAGCTCTCATCATCAATATAGACTGAGATAGAGTAAAAGTTTGACCAATTAGTCGGTTGCCCGTCCACACGCTCAAACTTATCGTCAGTCTTGCATGAACCCAAAGGTCTCGCCCGTCCGTCTTTTCCAGGTTTGTCAAACCTCAAACTCCGCCCACCCGTCATGCAAGACTTCAAACTTTGAGCGTCCACACGCTCCGTCTTGTCGTCAAACCTGGCATGACATGAAAGACTGACGATAAGTTTGAGCGTGTGGACGGGGCTTTAGGTTAAAGCATAGGAGTTAGGACTTAAGACTATAACCAGTTGCCAACTCGTATTAATAACCATGAATGGCAGAGCTGAGGGCGCGTATAATCCAGTATAGTTTTCACTTCTGAAGAGTAGGCCTACTGCTGAATTATTAACTTCAAATGGGGCCATTTTTGTGAGATAAATTGGCTTGTTTCTCTTGGCTCCATCTGGCAATCCTTGTTTTTAGTGCCCCTCGGGAGTCGGGACTCGGGAAAAGTCACGAAAAGTACAAATTCGGCCGGCGACAGGCCAACTCTTCAGCGCCGACTTTACAGCTAGCTATGTTGACGTTACAGGCTACCGGATTCTGCCGCCGACGCTGCCAACCTGTCTGTATAAGAAGAACTTCCGTGGAACTGGAGCATTTTTGCACATGTCGTTTTTACAAAATTGTGCCTGTTGCAGTCAATGCAGTGTTGCTCCTGCTGATCTTCCGTCTGACTTGTATCAAGCGACAAATATCAATTCCATGCCTGTGCCAACCCAATGCAACTGCTGAGTACTGCCTACCACATGGTGTGCCATATTATTGAATTAATGACAAATGATATAGGCTACCTAGGTACATTTTTATTTACATTTCCCCTGAAGCCTCTAAATAAACCACTAAATAGCCTGGATATTAGTATTAACATAAAATGCATAAGTTATTGATGAAACTATGGAGTTGGTTAGGAAATTAAAATGAATAGGCTTTAAAACTGCTAGCTAAAATGAATAGGTAGGTAATTTTTTTGTATTTTACTTAAAAGAAGAAGTTAGGTGGGCCTGGTGCTGGCTGGTGGAGTCCATAAAAATTGATAAATTGACCAGAAGTCTCATTTCAGGTGACTTCTGCCAAATGTTCTAAAATGGCAAACACCAAGTGCCAGACCCTGTCAAAAGCTTGAGTTGAGCCAGTTGGCAGTTGAGGCTTGATTAATGATGAGCCTGGGCTCCGCTTGGCCCTTGGGTTACCAGAGTGTAGAGCCCATCTGGCATCTGCCAGAGGGTTTCAGTTTTTCACTCAAGCAATTGAGCAAATGAACATGTTAACACATAATTTTCAATCAAATTGTCAAAACCTACAAAAATGACATTTTCTTTATAATTTAGTACCTAAATTTTCTTTGGTTTAGCCAGCAGCCCAGCGCAGCCAGCCCTAGATGGATGATGCCTGATGGTAGTTGGTAGTACTACTGTACTATTTAGCATAGTGACGAACCAGAGATTTTTTAGAATCAGTTCATTTTTAATTTCCTCATTTACTCAAGATTTAAACCAATTTCTTATGTATTGTAGGCTATGATAATGCTGGTAAGTGGTAGGGTAAACGCGGTATATTCCGACATCGTAGGTAATTCCGTCACCTCTCCAGCTTTTCCTTTATATTAAGC